TTGCGAAGAGCTTGTCGTTGCGCTCGTTGTACACGAGCTGATCCTTGATACTTCTGCTTCAATGAGTCCCATATCTCCTTGGACGTATCTTTCTTCAAAATTGTCACTAGTATCGAGCGATCAATAGCTTGAAACAAATAGTTCTTACACTTCAAATCCTTGAGCTTCTCAGCATTGATGGCCTTCTTCTCAACCTCACTGAGTTCTTCTCCTTCTTCTGTTGATGGAGTAATGCCCGTCTCCACAAGATCCCAATATTCTTTCGAACGTAGAAAGTTTTCCATGAGCATGCTCCAATGATCATAATGGCCATCAAATTTTGGAATGGCAGGTTGCACAAAGACACTCTCAGATCCCATTGTTACCCTCAGCTTTGATACCAAATGTGAAAGAAAGATACAGAACCAAAAAATATTGAACTAATTTTATTGACTGATCATGAAGGGCTATAAATAGCATTACAAGAAGGACTAAAAAGAAAAATAGCTAACCCACTAACTAAAGGAGTGGCATATGAATTTGTCAAAATAGAACTACCTAGTCTTCCAAAAGATTCGGAAGGACTTATTCATTTCAAAACTAGAAATCAGGAAGTAGTGGACAATTTCAACAGATGGGGGCGTTATCTTTTCACGGATGCAAATATAAAAACTAAGAGGCCGTTTACCAAACATTTACCTGGTAAGCACTTACCACGAAAATTCAATATTATTATTTACTTACCAGGTAAGATTTTAGTCAACAAAAATGGCTTTTTATGCAACAATTTACCCGGTAAGAGTTGACTGTGGTAAGAGTCATTGCCCTCAGTTACCGGGTAAGACTCTCTGTCTTTGCCTCGTTCTTCGAGTAAGATTTTTGGTTCTTATCATATTCATCTGGTAAGGTAATATAACTTGGTAAGCGCTTACCTAAGTAAGCATTTGGTAAACGACCCCTAAGATGATGATTTAGGGACTGTTTACCAATTTTTTTGGTTAAGTGTTGATTCGGATAAGAGGTCTGACTGTGATAAGAGGTCTGACTGGATTAAGTGCAAATTGTATTTTCTTGTTTATCAAACATTTTGTGTTAAGTGCTGATTGAGTAAAAAAGACCATTATATCCTCTTTTTTTTTGGAATAAGTATTAATTAAAAATTATTGTATTATTTAAACCTAATTATATTTGAATAAAATTAAAAAAAAACAGGCCCATATCAGCCCATATACATTTAAGCCCAATTATATTAATCTATATGTATTTCTTTTTCACTCAAAAACCTCAAAACCCTATTTTTCTCAACCTGAAACTTTTCTCTCCCACCTCCAGACCAGCCACCATCGCCGCCTCCCGTCGACGCCTTCCGTCGCCGCCCTCCCGTCGCCGCCCTCCCGTCACCCTTCAACACCTTGAACTGGATATAACCATCGACGCTTCCCCACCTTGAATCAGACACGACCCATCTGTTTGTATAAAGAAAGATGCATCTATTTAGGGTTTTAGATGAAGAGGGTAGATTAGGAATATATACCTCTTACCATGGTAAGATTCATTTTTTTTGCTGACTCCAGTAAGAGGACGGTCAGATGTCGAAAATCTGATTGTTGATTTGTTGTTAGGTAAACACTTTTACCTCTTACCCGGATAAGCATCTCTTAACGGGTAAGAGGTGGTAAGAGATTAGTAAACAACCCCTTAGTATGGTTTGTTGCACATTTGAAAAAAAATATATTTACAAAGTGATTATGTGATTAAAATACAAATTGTATGTATTCTACAAGTAGGCTACTTACTCACTATACAATTATTCAAAGTGAACATACAAATCAAGATGCTACTGATCCATTCTATATATATATATATATATCTATTAAAAGTAGCAAAGATCAAGCATATTGTTTTCGTAAAAATTCATACCCTCCACCGACGATGATAATTCCCTCGACCATGACGTCAGTAACCAGGATTCATACGCCAAACGACTCATGCTATCTGTGATCGTGGTTATCTATGACCACAAAGACCTTTGACTAGGGGTGTAAATGATGCAAGTCGAGCTCGAGTATCACTATACATATACTCGACTCGATAATAGGTTCGACTAGTGGATCTGATTTTGTGAACTAATGTTCGACTGTACTTGTTGGTTTCAACGGCGACACTGTTCGTACCATCGGGGAAATTTCTTTCCTTATATATGCTAAAGGTGTTAATAAACCAACTAAGTTCAACGTCATGGATTGTTTTTCCGCACAATGTGATTCCTGGACGACCTTGGATCCACGACATGAAGGCAGTTCCCTTGATGTATCATCAAACAATAAACTTCGCGACTTTATGGGGTGTCTAAGAAATAAAGAGCAAACAGAAGACCACCCAAAAATGATGTAAGACATCCATGAAACCATGAAAAGGCACTATCTAGCAATTATAGAGTCAGGATCACTTGGACGAGATCAACGATTTACAGCTACAAGAGTCGTCCTCGACCAAGTAGGCCTGATCTAACAATATTCATTGGAGCATCCATGGAATCGAGTATTAAAGATTGTATCATTGAATTCTTGAGGGAAAACTTCGATTGTTTCGCCTGGACGCATGAATATGATTGGAACTGATACCAGCATCATATCTCATATACTGAACATTGATCCAACATATAAAACCGTGAAGCAAAAAAGGCCCATTGAGGTTTTTGCCAAACTGTTTATGCAGAAAAACAATTTAAGATAGAGGTTTGGACCTTATTTGAACCTTTGAAATAAACAAGAAAAATAACGAAAAAGTTGTAAAAGAAAAAGATGATTTTGTTGACGCGGAAAACCCCATTGAGGGTAAAAAAAAATGCATAGACGTCGTCCTTAATAATAAATATTACAATTACAGATCATGAATAAACACGTTGTATCGAACAACTCTTCCATCAGCAGAGTGTCCGTGACATCCGCTACATCATGTCAGCTTTTTAGCTAATTCTCCGTTGCAAAATAGTTGCAGCATTTCCGTTAACATTTCCGATTTTGGCGAGGTTTCAAACCGAAGTTACCTGTTTGCTCATTGTCATCGTGACATTAATGGACAATGGTGTTTGGATTTGGTTCACAAGGTTCTCTATGTTCCCGTTTTGTTATTCTTAGAAACCAGAGAGAGTGTTTTGAGAGGAATAAGACAGCTGAAGTGGATGCTATCGCAAATTTTGGTGTAAGCATACAGGATCGATATGTTCTGCTATGAAAACAACAACTGGAACGGTAAGAGACCCAGTTCAGTCATCTTACCGTGTAAGAGTTGTCACTCTCACGTACTAGGTAAGATTCTAGGTCCTTGTTATCACTCTTACCGGGTAAGATTCTCAATTCTTGTCATGTTAATTCGACAAGGTAAAGTGACCCCATAATCACTTACCGGGTAAGAATTTAGCAAACGACTCGTAACGTTCTTACCACTGTTTACCTTTAGGTCTTAAGCAAGCATTGTTATGATGGTGTTATTGTTGCTGATATCTTCCATTTGAGGAGTCTGATTTGCCAACTTTATATAAAAAGGTTAAATACAGGTTTAATATATTATGCGCATAAATAGGAGAACGGTATACTTGAAATTACATATAGGTTTTAAATATTCAATTTTCTGATAAAATATTCTGATCGGCTTATTGACTTGTTGCAGATAAAGTGGCAAATTGGCACCGTTAGCAGTTCACATGAAATTGTCGCATTATGGCTACCATCTTTGTTGTCTGTGCAAAGAAACAAACGTGGTTCTACTCCAATATAAAAAAGTTAGAAAATAGATGGGAGGTGATAGGTCGAGTATCAAGTTTTGCGAGGAGTTTAATTAGGGAGGATGTTAGAAAATGGATGTATGGATTGATTGAACGTTTTTTTGATTAACCTAGATATTCAACCCGCTCTGTGAGCCGACTAACCCCAGAGCGACCACCTGCATTGCATATAGCATGGAGTCATCGCATTTGAACCTCCGTAACCAAAGGGGAATTTTATTCCTCCTTGAATTTGAACCTGAGACCTCCTGGTATTTTTGATATTTGGAGCCAAGCTCAAACCAATCAGGCACCACCCTTGTAGTTATGGATTGATTGAAAGTTAAGAATTATTTTGAAAATTTCTTGTCTTTTATATGATAAATATATGCAAATTTATTGTTTTGAGATTCTTATGTTGTTTTTTGTTGATTAATATTATCATTTATAATATAATTATATATAAATATAGAGCTAAAATATGGATGAAAAAAATACTTTTTAGAGAATTAGGGGCCGTTTACTAAACGTTTATCCAGTAAGTGTTTACCGGGTATTTTTTTTTTCCGGATTAACATGGTAAGGGTTTAGAATCTTACATGGTTAGAGCGGTAAGAAAATGAAGAGTCTTACCCGGTAAGAGTGGTGAAAGGATGGGAGTCTTACCCAGTAAGTAAGATTGACCACCCTTACCCCGGGTAAGCATTTACTGAGTAAATTATTGCATACTATATCGTTTTGATGTATTACAATTTTACCCATAAAAATAAACCACAGTGTTGACTCCTATCGGTAAGTACTTACCCTAAGGAGCCGTTTACTAAACGCTTATTTGGTAAGTGCTTACTAGATAAATTTCCTCGTCGGATGAACATAACAAGGGCCAATAATCTTACAAGGTAAGAGCAATGAGAAGGATGGAAAGTCTTACCCGGTAAGTGAAGATAACGACTCTTACCCAAATAAGTACTTACCTGGTAATTTGTTGCATTCGATACGTTTTGATGTACTAAAATCTTACGCATCAAAGTAAATTATAACATTGACTCCTATTGGTAAACACTTACTGGGTAAGCATTTGGATAAACAACCCCTAAGTTATACTTTTGGTCCCTATAGTTTATTTAAAGACTGATTTGTTCCTTATAATGATTGCTAACTGACAGTATTAACTTCAGGTATCATGAGTGTTATTTTACCAGATCATGATTCAGGATGGAACATCAGAAATATAAACTACAAATGGCATAAATCAATATCATATTTACTTGGTTATATGAACATCTACATTCTAATTGACCCTTGTTGCATAAATTTTCAATGACACCCATTAACTGTACAATCTTTTTAACATATTTCTAAGCTCAACATAACTCGGATTCGAGTAACATTTCACGCGGTTTGATTGCGGTTTTGCATAATAGCTCACGGTCACAATGGTGAATCCTTCCATTCTAGTCTATTTAGCCCATCAACAATGGCTCTACGGAACTCATTATTATGAAGAATGAAGGATGAAACATGGCCGCCGGTTACCCATCTCACCTCCGATCCAGGCCAAGCTCTTTGGAGCTCGAGCACCGAGTGTTTTGGGATGTACCCATCGTCCTAAAAAACATGGTCAAAACAAAGGAAGAAAGTTTCAATAACTTGAAAGACAATATTTACCGGAAAGACCTAAATGACTTGGTCATTTTACATTGTCATCAAACTTATTAGTTTAGTTTTTACCAAATGTGACTAGTTTATCGGCTAGTTTATTGACCAACAATCAACTAGTTTGTCAAACATAGCCTGTAGCCAAACACGAGACTAGCCAAGAGGGCAATCATCACTATGCTAAATTTCGGAAATATATATTATAAGAAAAGTGGAAGTTTGTTAGAAGCGGGTTTACTTACGGTGGCAGCAACAAGAATGACGGCATTTGGGTTTTTGGGGGTGGGAAAGCGTGTGACGTCTGTGAGTGACAGCACGCTTCTCATACGCTCTCGTGCTTCCTCTAGTGTCATCGTAGCCTTCTCCATCGATATATCCTCTCTTAGGGCTTCCCACGCAGTCGCATGCTTCAATACTCCTTCACAAAACGCAACAACAGCCGAGTGTGGAGATAGAAATGGCAATGTAGCAATAGGCGTAGGATGTAAGGATCCCACCATGGCAGCATGTACTCCACCTAAAAATACCATAAAAAATCAGATATCGAGATAAACATGCATTCTCTTGATGCATCTGAAGACCCGTTACGTTGTAATTTGAATGCTTCAAAGTTCATACGTGTAGATTCAAAAGTATAAAATATTTACCCATGCTTAGTCCACAAACACCCATTTTTCCGAAACCTGCTTGAGAATCTAACCAATGTAGAAGACTGCGTGCTTCTTCGATGGTAGCTCGTCCTAATAAGAGCAAGTCACTCACACACAATAACTTCGAACCACTTTGCAGCATTGGTCGCCTTTGTCCATAAAAAGGGCTGCATAACGTTGACGATTAAAGATGATATGTGCAGATTCTTCAAAAATATAAGACAGCACAAACGAATTCAAACTACAAAATTGATTATCACCTCTCAAGGACCATTGTTGCTATATTTTCCTTCAATAGTGGTCCACCAAGACGCAATCTTCGTTCAAAACTATGGTCCCCAGTTCCTGAAATATCAGTCCAAGATTGTAAGATTCAACAAGACTGCCATAAAAGTCGATTTTAAAACATAACTTGTTGGAAGGTATATGCTCAAGTAATTTAAATGGTTTTATGAAATCTTCACTTATAGAATAGGTGGAACACCCATTAAAATACCCTCTAAAAGAGCCGGTTAAGGTAGGTTCCAACATATATTGAGGAAAATGATCAGAGTCTAATCAATGTGGGATTCCAACACGCACCCTCCAAAAGGAGCTACATGGACACAAATTGTTGAAGAGTGTTGAGGGAGGGCTAGAAAAACTGTCCCTGAAGTGGTAGACTTTGGCTTTGATACCATGTTAGAATATTTGGGACCCCATCAGATTACTCCCAAAAAGAGCCCTTAAGAAGAGAAGAGAGGTTCTAACATATATCGAGGAGAAATGATTCAAGTATAACTGATGTGGGAGTGGGACCCCAACATTCACTCCTACTAATCATGCTACCACGATTCGCATGAACCAAATACAAATAAAAACTACGTTTAGAGAAAGCTAAAGCTCTATGTGGACATCGAATCACTTACCATTCAATCATAACTTAAAAGTACAAATCTTTAGAAACACAACCGTCACATCAAGCCTAATACAAAAAAAAAAGAAAAAAGATCAATTATGATTTAACATGCTCTTAAACAATACATTCTGCCTGATCCTAACATTGATAGCTTTGGAATCTCCATAATGGGCACCATCCTAATTGAGGTTAAAAGCTTATTATCCATCTTAGGGGCATCATATGAAGACAGAGGAAGGAATCTGTGCGTTAGAGCTCTCACTAAATGAGCCCCTTTTGGGTCAAATCCCGGTCATTCGTGTGTTGTATATGCCCTTTAACATGATCATACCAAAAGAACTCTGAAGTCCTAATAGTGAAAGTTTTGATTAGGGGGAACTTAAACGCCCCTCCACCGAAACCTTAAAACCAAAATTTCATAATTAAGAGAAGAAATAGAATGGGGAAGATATGTATTTTTTCATAAACATATTTAATGTGAACAGTCACTTAAAGTACCTTTCAGCATTTTTTTACTTGTTCAGTGTTTTCGGGCTTGCTTTCTTTTTCACACACACTTTTTGCAACCCAGGGTCTTCACGGAAACAGCCACTCTACTGTTAGCGGTAGGGATCAAATTTGTTTGGATCTCACCCCTCCCAGACCCCACCTCTGAGTAAGATATTCTGGACTCGTTTGGTTTGGTTTAGTTTAGTAACTCAAAGTACCCGACTTTTCTGTATTTTGTTTTGTTCAGCAATAAATTAAGAAATTTGCAAAGCTCATAGCAATGATAATTCAGCAATCAAGTGCTTCAATCTATATTCTATTTCTAATGCAGAAACAAGGTTACTAGAATTCCTACAGCTCTTCAACACATGTACATATATAATCAGCTCTTCAATACAGGGATGTTTATGTCCTACATAAACACACAATATATTTTGTCCCAATTATGACTGAAAAAACAACTTAAGATTTCTATGCAATGAGGGGCAGACAAAGTTCTTTTTTCTTCTAACCTAATATACACCTCTTACTGATTCCATATGAACTATATTACCTTCATCCAATTTTGCAGATTTGTCAGCATTCAATTCACCATCAGATTTATTAGTATATCTTTATAATGATAGCCATGTGCATGAAACCACAGTACTGATCCAGAGACAACAAAGTATTTCTTTTAATCTAGATCTAATTGATGAAATTACTGATAGTTTGGAGTCTTTTCAGACCAAACTTTTGGAAAGTATTGCATAAGTTTCACTTACATGCCTAAAAGTTCACCTTGAAAACTATGGGAACGTTTGGAAAAACTTGGCTTTCTGCATAAAGCTCCCCCTAGGAGCATACTGAATAAGCCGATTTCTATATCATTAAGCCACTAACAAATAGTCATGTATAGGTAGGTGACCGAATAAGCTGTGACTCCCATTAAGGTTGTTAGGCTGCTAACAAACAGGCCCTAACATTCATTACCACCCCCACCATAATCAATATAATACACGCAAAACATACCAAAAAGATCGAGTAAGAACACCCAAGGAAGTGAAACAAACATGCCCACATGTGTATACACTTCAACCATATAATATCCACTGATAATAAAACCAGAAAAAATCACCAACACAATCTGTATCAAAAACAATAAAATTAATCAATTTTACCTGCAAGATGAACAACACAAGCCACATTGTGGGCAGGCACTGATTTTGGGGCAAGGAGGGCAACTCTTGCAATATGACTCTCAAGAGGTAATGCATTAAGAAGCTGTTCATCACAAGGCGTTTCAAAAACACCTTCTTTCAAACAAGCACTTTTGGTCTCCCAAACTGTTTTCCATGTAGGTTGAATCAATCTTGGAGGCCAATTCTGACCTTCAACTTCTGGGAAAAGCTGCTTAATCAAACTCTCTAGAAGATCAAGCTTTGGGCCACCCCATCCTTTTGAAAAGAATTGTGGGGTCAGCTTTGTTCTGTGCATGAATGCACCATACACATGGTCCAATATATAGTGAAGCATCCCAACCTTTACTGCCACCATATTTAAGACTCAAGAAATCAAACCCACTTCCAATTCGAAGAAAGTTCGATCTCTTTGCCAATGTAGATTAATTTTAAAACAGTCCCACCAATCAAAACAACCGAGACTCCGCAAAAGATTGGATTTCAAAACAATCTAAACCTATTTGAAACCAAAACCACCAATTTTAAAGCCTCGCGTTTGCCAAAAGAGGTTTTAGATCAAGTGATTGAGAGAAACCCAACTGTGAAATCGGATCGAAATTGGAAATTAGGATCTGGGTTTATGAGAATAGACGATGGCTTAAGAAGACAATAAACGACTCATCAAGCAGTTGAAGGGATTTGAAGTGTTGATAAGGTACTAATGATTGAAAAACGATGGGATTAACATTCATAGAGAGCAATGTAGAGAAGATTTAGGACCTTGCAATCTAGATTACTACTGGATGTAGAATCCGATTGAAAACAATAACTAGAGAGAGAAGATGCAATCGATAAAAACTATGGGCAGGGAAGAGTGATTTAGAAAGTACGCAAACTTCGTCGATAAAGCACACAGATTCTCTATTTTAAACATTTTTTATTAATTATATTATTTAAATATTTTATAATTTCAATACATTTTTTTTAAATATATAATTTCAATACATTTTTTTTAAATATATATAAAATCATATTAATTTAATCTTTAGTTTGACTCTTTGTTATAAAGAATGAGATAGGAAAGTTATTAGAGAGTTGTATAGAATAAAAAAGTTAATTTTTTCTATTACAGAAAAGCTATTGGAAATACTCTTAAAATATTAAGGTGAACTTTGTTTTTTAAGAAGTGTTAAAGTCTGAAATTTAATTTTATTTCTGATTTATAAGAGGTGGTGCTGAAGTCTAAATCTTGGATCAGTAAGACTGTTTGTTTTTACATTTAAAGTTTGAAATCTGAATCGGTCAAACTAGTGCAAAAATATAAAAAATAAATAGTTTTTTACAAAAGTATAAAGAATAAATAGTTTTGCTGATAAATCTCTTTCAATCCCCAAAGTATGAACCATTTGATAGATGACCAATTAGGTAGGGATATTATTTTGAATGAAAATCGCAGTGCATATTATTTTCATTGTTTTGCTCATCAACTTCAACTCACTCTTGTAGCAGTGGCCAAAAAGAATTTGTTATCGATAGTTTGTTTTTCTTACTAACCTACGTTGTCAATGTCGTTGGAGGTTCATGCAAGTGTCATGACCGTCTTTGAGAACAACAAGCTAACAAAGTTATTGAGGCACTCAGTGTAGGTGAACTCCCAAGTAGTCGAGGCCTCAATCAAGAAACTTCCCTCGTCAAAGCAGGTGACACATGTTGGGGATCACATTATGGTATTTTGGTAAGTATGATCATCTTGTTTTCATTTGTGATCGATGTGCATGAGATGATAAAGGAAGATGGGTTAACCCAAGAACAAAAATGTGAAGCTATGTTGCTATCTAAATCCTCACACACATTTGATTTCATATTTTTATCTCCACTTTATGAGAAATTATTAGGTAGTACCACTTATCCCGAGCATTGCAAAGGAAAAAACAAGATATTGTGAATGCGATGAATTTGGTTGGACTTTGCAAGAAACAACTACATATATTGAGGGATAACGGATGGGATTCTCTGCTTGATGAGGTTACTTTGTTTTGTGAGAAACATGATATTGATGTTTGCCATATGGGTGAAATGTTCTTACTTCATGGATGGTCACGCCAGAAAGATCCACAGAAGGAACTTGAGTAAATTTTAAATGAATATTGAAATACAAAAAAAAATTCTATGTTTATTGTTAACGAGATCAACATTTTTATGTTTCGATGTAACAGCAAAATACTATTTACCCCCCCCCCCCCCCCCTTTTAACCATTAGCAAGACTTGTTTCACTTACATATCATAAGAAATTCGAACAATTGCTTCAATGGCACGGGTTTTGGTGGTAAATAAAATAAAATGGACTCAAGTAGGGTTGCACCTGGTGCAACAACAAGCACCAATTTAACTTGGGGGTGGTAATTTAGTAGCAGTGGGTGACAAAGTAGCTTTATTACCTATTCCATTAGGAGGAAGACCTCCTAGGTATAAGATACGTATTGTTTGATTCTAAAACAACTCCAAAAGTCATAGTTCGTTAAATATAAAACTCAAAACACTCATCCTATCTTGTTTTCATATGGATCCATTGTAGGTTGTGGTTTTACTTTTGTTCCATGTATGGTTCCTATAACCCAACAAAAATACATTATGAGACATCAAGTTCACGTAGGAGAATTCGAGATGGGGCATCTGATTCAAGGAAACACAAGCATTGACATGTGTTTAAATAACCAGAATCCCTCACAAAATGGACCAAAACACTTAAGGATTTTGGTTCTTTTGAATGGGATCGATTATGCAAAGCAGATTTTAAGGGGTTGAGATTGTGTTCCATGGTCTAAAGAGATCACGATTTGATAATCGCATTTGGATAGCCACACGTGAAAAGAAGAGAAGAGGAAGGTTATCCATAAAGCCGAAAGTTTACAAGGGTAGATCATAACCATAGTGTAAGAGACTATGATTACACTATCAGAAAACCCGATCTCTACTTTATTAGGACATCTACATGATATATGCTTTCTCTTAATTGGAACAATACGAGCATAGGACACTACAATCTTTTTACCTCCTCGAAACATGTCTTCGTGACTACGTTCTTCTAACACTATGTTGTATGTTATTGCTACACATTCTTATATTATGTTACATATGCTATTTTGTTTGCTTCTTATGTGTTCCAATTGTTTTGGTATCTTCAAGTTGTTGTCTCATGATCAATAACTTGGCTAATGTCACACAAATATATATTCATATATGAATACACCTTATACATGTATAAACAAGAATGTAGTGTATATTTACATATGAATAAACACATATGCATGAATATAATGTATAAAGAGATGATTACTAAAAATCTATTTTGATGACTACCCGATAAAGTAAGTAACAATTGTATGTTGATAAACGATCCCTAAATTTATACCAATATGATGTCCCTATTTTCACATCTTTGAAATAAACACAGGAAAAAGCAATAAAAAGAGAAAACAATTGGTAATGCAGAAAAACCCTCAAATGAGGGAAAAAAAACCGCAAACGATACTAGGGATTGTCGATGCACAATGGACATTAATCAAGGACATCATCCTTCATAACAACAATTACAAGCAAATACGTGCGTCGGTCGTAGAAAATAGCAAGAAAGTAAGAATTATTTCTATTGATAACTTTTATATGCGTATATCCTTTGATGAACCACGTGTTCTTGAGTTTCTTCAAGGATTTTATAAATGACTTATAGGAGTGTTCAAATGGTCGATAATGGTTAATCCTTAATGAGCTTTAATGAAGAAAATGACTAGACTTGATTGTCTTGGACTTTTACCTTCCGTTATGATCTTCATGGTTAACGGTTGGATTTGTCTTTATTCTTGCAATAAAAACCACATATAATGGATGTCGTAATTAATATGCACTTACACACGTCATTAGTATGATATATCAAGGGAAATATTGATTGTGGAATAATAATCCTCGACCAAGGGTTATAGGTCTATGGTCGTAGATAACCACGATCATAGGTAACAAGATTGTGGGTTCATAAATGTCCTCTGAAATTTTATGTGGTAAACGTATCCGTAGTATCTCTTAATCTTAATCCGCCATCTATCAAATGGTTCATATTTTTGGGGCTGAAAGAGATTTGTTAGAAAAAACTATTTTATCTTTTATATTTTTCTAAAAAAAAACTATTTATCTTTTATAATTTTACACTAGTATTATCGATTCAGATTTCAGATGTAAAAATAACTAGTCTTATTGATCAAGATTTCAGACTTCAGCACCACCTCTTATCTATACTATTATAAATCATTTGACAAAAACTCTTAAAAACCATTTTTTATGCATGAAGTATTGTTTATTAATGTATATTACTTAAAATTCAAGATTACAAGTAAATTGTGCGTAAGTACAACTTATTAAAGCTTCATGTAACTAACTGCAGATAAACATAATTAAATAAAGAATAAACATCTCATTTTAAGTATAAAAAATCTAAAATATAATTAGGATAGTTATTAACTTCTAACAAAATACTTAATTATTATCTTTATAAAAAAATTATATTATTAAACCAAAAATAAAAATAATAATTAAAGAAATACACAAAAAAAGAGAAATTTTAAATAGTTAGTTTGGTATTAATATCAATTTTTTTTATCATATCTTCATATTTATATTTTATTTAAACATAAAAAAAAATTGCACTTTCTCAAAACCACATAAAACCGTATGATAACATCAATTGAGACAAACAAAAAACGAAATATTAAAATTGAGATGTATCTCGCTACATTGTACAAGTACTATTCTAATAAATCAGAAGTGAATTCAGACTTCAGATTTTAACACTTCTTAAAAAAATAAACGACACTTTAATTTTTAAATCTAAACATTTACTTTCTTAAGGTGTGTCGACGGGTAGGTTGAATACTTTAGATGTTACCTCTCTTTTAGAGGGTATTATTTGAGGCGTGATCCATGACCTTCTCTCACGTATATATCACCATTATAATTTATTTTTTATTATTATATTTTTATTGTTTCTGTATATACATGAAAGTTAGAAACTTTGATTTATTAGAATTTTAAATTATTATTAAATATTAATCATTATAAGAAATAGATGAATTTATCTATAATCTATACTATATTATAAAACATTTTACAAAAACTTTTAAAAACTATTTTTTATGCATGAAGTACTGTATATTAATGCATATTATTTAAAATTCAAGATTACAAGTAAATTGTGCGTAAGTACAACTTATTAAAACTTCATGTTTGAATTCGTGTAACTAACTACAGATACATATGATCAAATAGAGAATAAACATCTCATTTTAAATATAGAAATTCTAAAATATAATTAAGATAATCATTGAGTTATAACAGAATGTTTAATTATTATCTTTATAAAAAATTATATTATTAAACCAAAACTAAATTACTTTGTTATTAAATCTAAATTAAGTTATAATAAGAAATTGAATTAA